AAAAAATAATATCATCCAATATCACACTGATGTTGCCAGACGGAGAAAAAAAATCTTGTGTACACCACAAAATGAAAATCGAAATTACGTTTAAAAGTGCCATCACACGTTAAAATACCAAATTAATACATTCTTATAGTGATAAAATAATCTTTGAAATTGACTGAATGAAACAAAACGAGCAATACAAAAGACTATTACAATTTTCAGCAGATTTTAAGCGAACAAACGAACAACACCGAACATTCAGTAAGAGAAATGAACAACGCACCTCTTGCAAGCCACCACGAAGTTTCGCGTTAACAGGACCAGGTTGTTTCATGAGCATCTTGATGTCATAACATCGCGGGAATAGCGTTTTATGGTAATGAAAGAACTGCACTTCTTGTTTCGGCAACTCTTGCAACATTATCGAACGCATCAAATAACCAAAATCATAACCAGAATGGAATGTTAACCATGTTATATGCTCATCCACTATCAATCCTGATGTCGTTAATAATTCGCCAAAATCTGCCATTCGAATACCTTCTATCTGAATGACGATGATTTCTTTCAGCTTATTGCATTTCATCCTTACTTCTTACCAATCGTTACCAAACAATATTTATGTCTTGAGTCATTCCACTCAATCAATTCAACAAAATAACAACTGCTCACAAGAGTATTCAGTTTATATCAAAGCTTTAAAATGAGCGAAAACTTAAAATAAAATACCAAATGTCGACTGAAATCGATGCCTGCCGATCGAAGTAATTCAACGCTTTCTTGCGAGTACATATCATCGTTAAGTGAAAATTGGAAATTAAACTGCCACACATCACCGCTCTTTGGCAAATTCCCTTCTTTATCGGTTAATGTGAAACCGACTTGTATTAATTTCAACATATTTACATTACACGATACCTGTAAATTTAATTTCACCTTGAGTATTTGTTGAAATTGTTGTTGAAGTGGTGTGAAAATGTGCGACGAAGAAAAGGTAATATGAAAATATTGACAAAAAGTCAACAAAGTTGAAAATTCCAGATAAGATGAGGTACAGCTGACCACAACGAAGATTGACACATTCAATAAAAAAAA